ATTTTTCTAAATATATATATATATATATATATACGTAAATTAAAAAGTCCTTCCGAAGCGGGCGACGGGATTTCGATTCCGGCTGCCGACAGCTTCTTACGGGCGACCCCCCTAAACAACCTTTCTCTTTTTTTTTTGTGCCGACAATGATGCATTAGCTTATTTTGTCACAAATTCAACTTAAGTTGGTTGGCTTGAGTTCTTACATTGAGGTAACCATTCTCATGACGTATAATGTAAACAAGATGCCCTCATAGTCACAAGGAATTAAACCTATAAATTCTTCTTTAATCATATTAATTTATCAAAACAACTGCGCAATTTATTCAGTGAATACAATAAATAAAAAAAAAGAAGATTTACATTCACACCACTCAATTTCTATGTATTATCTAACACCTAAACTAACATTTTTACATGCATACCATCTTACCTATGCATGAAAACATGTATTTAACTTTTTAAAAGTTAAAATGTTGATATTTTTAATGTGATATGCAAGATTAAGATTGTATAAATGTAAAATATAAAATTTAGGTCTTAAATATGTAAATACATAGGAATTGGGTGGTATGTATGTAAATGTCTCTTATAAATAATACACAGCACCTATGTCACTAAAAGAGTAAATTAAAGAAGAGAATCAGTACTTGAAAATGGATGTGAGACCCGGAAAGAGCAAGGATATATCCATGTATTGGATCAGAACCTGAATAAGTGTTAAACTAAGGATTAGGATCAACATGGTTATTAAGTCATATAAGGTATCAATGATGCATTAAAATCAAATAGAATTTAAAAAACAGTTTCAGCATCTGATGCATTAAAACAAAGACTGCTAAACCTTACAGAATGCTTAGAATATTTTGACATCACAAGCAACAGCAGTATCGCTAAATTCAAAATAAGGACACTTCAAGTATTCTTCATTTAAGTTGCTAGAGAGACTTTTTCAGTAAAAGAATAAGAGATCATACACGACCGAACCAAATAGATGTCAAACAAGCTGTTTATCAAAAGAAGATTAGAACATAGAAACCAGGAACAGACAATTTTTTTGTATCATAGGTTATTTCATATATATAGCTGATGAGAAAAATACACCAAAAAATAGTCTAAAAATAGTATCCTCCTTCTAAAAGCAAGTAAAACTGTATATATTAGTGTGGGCTCCAAAAATTACAACCACTCTCCAGACTGTTATTTTGTTTATATTTTATTTTGAGAGAGCTTTGGGGGGTCAAATTTTTAGAAGACATATGAGATAATAGATAAGATACAACCAAAAGATTTGGCCCTCATTTTGAGGGGACATTTTGATTTGGGGTTTTAGGTATCTCATAGGCACAAGCTCTTATGGTCAATTACCCCTCCCGATAACAGTAGAACACTTTCAATTAAGGCTAGTCATTTAACACTAAATAATCAACATATAACAGCAGACATATATTTTAAATTGTAAAAATCTATCACTTGAAACTTATAACAGATGGTGGGGGAAACGATGACAAAACCGATCAAGATCATATGATTTTGTCATCCTGACTCATCGTAGCCCAAATCTACTTAGCCAGAGGAGTTAGTTGACCCAACCTGACTGAAACATCCTTATCAGCAACATGAGTTGCATTGACTAGGGGTGTAAATGAGTCGCGTCGAGCTTGATCTACCCTCCGCTTGAGCTTGAGTTTGATTAATTTTATCGATCTCAAGCTTAAGTCTTCAAGTTCGACGCATGTTTAATATAATAGAAAGAAAATGATATTAAGTTAAAATAACTTTACAATAAGTTGATAAATAAAAAATGAAAAATTAGGAGATAAATAAAAAGAAATCACCTAATATACAGATAAAAAAATATTAATTCCTTAACATTTTTAAAACCTTAATAATAGAGTTTTGAAATTTAATGTAACTTGAGTATATTTTATGCAAATATTCTTTTAAAAAAGTCAGCTCACGAGTATCGGGACTGGCTTGACTCACCTGCACCCCGAGTATCGTCCAAGAGGCCTTGTAGATTTGAGGTGGATGTGAGTTTGTCTTAAGTTTTTTAAGTGAAAAAATTTATTTGAATATTTTGATTAATTATTTTGAAAATATTAATCTTAAAGATTAACTCATTCGATTGAGATTCACAATCAATGCGGTCATTATCGGGGATTTAATAAATTTAAAAAATTTTATATTTAAAGGAAAATTCATTTTATTAAATTAAACTTTTTAAGATATGTCATATCGACTCCTATCCTTATAAGGAAAAAAATTGGACTAAGTGATTTGGACTTATAAATTTTTAACTTTATGATTTAGATGTTTATTATTGAATTTACTGAGAGTCTCAACTCCAGTCCTTGTGAGGAAGATCGAACAAGTTCGATGGGACTTACAACCTTGCCCTTTAGACAGGAAAGGTCGATGGATAGCATTCGTAGTTTAATTTTCTTGGATTTGACTATTAGTAAATGAAGGTTTTTTAATTTAAAAATAATCTTAATTTTTTTCAAATGAAGCTTGCAGGCTTATTCGAAGAATTTTAACCCACGTAGTATTCCAAACAGTTCAACTTTAAATACTTAGTACATTTCAATGAAGCACATGCGGGTTTTAAATTTCACATTTTTTGAATAGCTTAAAAAATTTTATAGATTAGGAACATTTGCACGAATTATGAATTGACATGAGATTTACATCAAAAAACACATGCAATATCTTAAAATTGTGCATAGTTGGCTCGATATATATATATATTTGAAACGTCTATAGCTAAGGAGTGTCCAATTTATCATTCACATAAGCCCAAAGACTACTAGTCAAATTTTCGAGACATTTCAATTGATTTAAGAAACACCCATGAAGTTTGTATAGGCTTTGAAAACTTTAAAGTCATTTGAAACTACAAACTTTTCTTTGGATATTATATTATTAGTGTGCATACAAGGTTACATCTCTGGGCTTTAAGAGAATAAGAGGAATCACTTTCTGTTCACTGACAGTAGTTTTACAAATCCCGTGGCGAGATTTTTAATTTCAAAATACCCAAATTTGAATTATTTTTCATCCCTCGGGTCTAAGTTAGAAAAACCCAATTTTGAATTGATTCTCAAACCCTAGAAGCCTAAAGTCTGAAAAGCTCAGTTTAAAGTATTTTCAAGTCTTGTGAGGTTAAATTTAAGAACCCAAAATTTAATATTTTTTAAGCCCTAAAACCCTACGTGTCAAAGCGCTAAAACTTTAAATATTTTTGAAAGTCTTAAGAGCTTAAATGTTAAAAGCCTAGATCCCATATATTTTTGAACTTTTAAAAACTCAACAGCAACAAGCCTTTATCTAACTAAGTGGGGTCTGTTGTATGAATCCTTTTTCTCCATTGCATTCAATTGAGTGTCATATTTTCATTTAATTCTAAAAGATTAAGATCAATTTTCATACAATACGCCCAAGTCTTTTGAGGTCTACATCCATCCTTCTTAACATAAGTCGAATCTAAGACATCTCCTAGCCGAACATCAGACTGTCGACGTTTAATGTGACCAAACAATCTAAGATAATTCTCTCTAATTTTGTCTGTTACTGAAGCCACACCAATCCTACGTGTCAAGCTGCACATCCGCCTAAAATGTAAAAACTCGAAATTTCCAAATTATTTTAAAATTCAAATAATTCACTTTTTATGTTATTTATAAGTTCAAAAATTCTAAGTTTAAAATTTTTTACAAGTCCAAATCACCCAAAAAATTGGCAATCTATCAGGCCTCAACCCCCGCTAGAAAGTACCAAGAGAATGTCAGTCTTCTCAACTGTTTTAAAAGACTCGATGTCAATGTCATGAGATATTGTAGCTAGAGAGAAAAAATAAAGATTTAAACCAACGGTCTTAAAAGACGCAATGGGTCTTCACTATACAAGCATAAAGATTTTAATTGCGATTCTGCATTTCCCCGAGCGAAACTTCTTTCCCAGAACGATACTTAACTCCTAAGAACGGAAAATCACATTTCCCAAGACGAATTTTTAAAAACCTTAATTTCATAAAAAATTTCCAAATGAGTCCACAGGTTTCCACGAACGGTACTTAATTCCTAGAGGTCAGTACTTGCACTTCATCGAATGAATATTTTAAAAACTACCATATTGCCATATTTTTATACCTTTACAAGCTTTGGCGGCGTTGACAGCAATGATATACGACAACAATGACGAACAATAAAATAAAAATACAACACAATTTTTTGCAATAAAATTTATAAATAATGAAAAGTAAAAAAATTTAAATTAAAAATCTTAGGCTTCGGTTTGGTTGCAAAATTTTGCTCAGGCTCGATTAAAAATGAGGTGGATGGTTCGACTTAGGGCAGAGAGGTGGCAAGCTTTGTTAAGCTCTTTGTACAGAGAGGAATAGGAGAGGATCGTTGTGAGGCAAGGAGAATTGATCGAAGGGTTTCGGTGTAGGAAGTCAGATGAAGGGTTTCAGGTCAAAGCATCGGGTCGGGCTCAGACTAGAATGAGGAGGAATGATGCGATAATCGAAGGAGGAACAGTCAAGGAGGATAGGGATTCCGCCGTTTGCTTCGATTCCAAAGAAGAAATGGGGAGGGCCTCGATTCTTCATGTGCAATTCAAAGTGGAGGAATAAGACAAAGTGGAGAGAGGCAGAGCGACAGAGAAGGATTCACTCACGACTTAAGGAGGAAGTGTCGTAGAGTGATGAATAGTGGAGTGGCTTCGGCTGCGTGGAGCGATGAACAGTAAAGGAAGAGAAAGATTGGAGTCATAGTTTGAAGAGGAAGAACAGGAGGACTAGGGTGTGGCTTCGGTTAGAAATCGACATAAAGAGTGGAGTTTTGGAGGTTTCTGTATGCAGCGAGAGGAGCAAATTTATGTGCAACAGAGAGGAGCGATAAAGGTGCGGGAGAGTAAAACAGACATGCGAAAATGAGAGGGAGGGTAGTTAAAAATTCTATCATGGCTTTTACTTCAAACCAAAGAAATGACTCACGCAAACAGTTACCAACTGTAAGTGATCATTTTGCATGCAAGAAAGCTCAAAAGTTAGCTTAATATAAATTAAGTTAATTAAATCTAATTAAAAACATCAATAATATTTAATTAATTATATTTTAATGTCAACAATTAGTTATTACACATCATAAGAATTATTATGTCTAGTTAAGAATTTAATAAAGCGGGAATAAAAAAGAAAATTATTTTTTGATTCATTACTAAAAAAGAACACACGAGTTCAAATATTTTATGTGCTAAATTAAAATCCTAAGACTAAACAAAGCCAGAATCGTCAACAACCTCCACGTCCAAACAAACTCACAGGTAAAATTAAGTTAAAATTAAGGAACACAGTTATAAAACAACATGGAGAAGATAAAGTAGAAAAATCTAAAAACCTTTAATTGGCAAACATATTGTTTTCTCAAAACTTAGAATTATCAACAATTCCAACTATCAAGTTAGAACATTCTCAAACCCCCTCCGCCGGAAACTTGGCATTCATTGAATTTTTCATGGTTATAATGTTGTAGATATTTTCTCCTCCCCAATCAACAATTATCCACCACTCCTTCATAAGACATTCAAAAATCTTCAGCATAAACAGCCTTCAACTTTCTAGGGCAAGCCTGTCTCCAGTTTTCTAGAAAAAGGAGATTTTAATGCTTTTTAAGCCTCCCAACCTATCGCTTATTGAAAAATTCT